CGTGGGAGGGAAGGTGCTTTAACCGCAGGGCGCCTTCCTCGGCTTCCACCTCCCTACGCCCTGCCTGCAGGTGTCCCCACTCAGGTAAGACAGTGCAGAGGACCCGTCCCCTGCCTCCTTCACACGGACAAGGTTTGGATTTTAGGTCGTAACCATCCGCAAAGCGTGCGCCTTCCTCGCCACCCACGTGCTTCGGTGACCCCTGACTCCTCCGAGGACTTGGGCGTTGTAAACCCCCGCAGATGAGGACGGGTTTCCGGGGGTCAAGGAGAGGATGAGAGCGGAACCCCGGACACAAGGGTCCCCACGGCCAAAAGCTCGACGATGTGGTCCTCCGGCCGCTCTAGGCCACGCCTCTCCACTACGTCCGCCCCGCTCCGCCTGATTGGCGTCTCTCTGTGCCAATCGGAGGCGCGTGCCAGCTGACTGGCCTGGTGTGTGCCCTGGGTGTGCGGCCGGCCTCTCCGAGGGAAGCACAGCTCCATGGAGGGTAGTGTGATGACTGCACCATCATCGCTGTTGCTGGCAGCAGCCGCCTTGGTCTCGATAGCATCTCACTCGGACAGACTGCCGGCCCCAGGTAGTGAGCTGTAATGTCTGCACGCAGTTCCCTGGGGGCAGCACCTCACAGAGAAGCAGGCCCTCCACTCTGCGAGCCCCTGGCTGGGAAGCAGAGCCTAGCCCATCCGGTCTGGATGTCCTCTAGGCCAGGAGAAGGCAGGGAGAGGGAGCAGCCAAGCACTGAGGCCAGGGCTGGCACTGAGGAGGCAAGACGTGCCCCAACTCTCCCTCCAGCCCTCCCAAGAGAAGTGGGGTCACCCAGGGAAGGCTGCAGAGGTTGTGGACGGAGGTGGGGATGGAGTGGACAGTTTGGTCACTGCCTGGGAAGGGCCCAGATGGCAGGTTCGTCCCTCCGTGGCCCCAGCAGGAAGCCCCAGAGACAGGCCACACCTGAGTGACTCAGCCCAGGCAAGCAGGCGGGGCAGCTGTAAAACACCTGGGTCCGGAGCCTGTCAGGTGGGGCCTGGTCCCCTCCCATGCAATTAGCCTCCCGTCCCACTGGCCCAGCCCTAGGGAGCGGCCACATCAGGATGGGGGTAGGGCTGCCCCCTGCTGGACAGGCTGAGAACAGGCCTGCGGGCCCTGGCGTGTGAGGAGGTGAGATAGTGGACAAGCCAGGGTCATCACTGAGGCCATAGGCCATTGTCCACTTGTCCCGAAGGTTCCATTTGCATGAAGACATGGCCCGTGCAGCATGGGCTGGGAGTCACTTCTCCCCATGGTGTTGGGAAATCCCATGAGCCGAGTGGGCCTAGCGTTCCCTGGACCCAGGGTTCAGGGAGGGTGCCCACAGGCGGGACAAGTTCGGGCCCCAGAACCCCATGCAGGGTTATGGT